CAGTCTCCTTTTCTATGCCGTGTGTTGTGGTGGTATATTTTTAGCGGGATCCTTGCTGACTGGGGGTGCGGTGACTGGTCCTCTTGACCCACTTTGGCTGGCCGTTATTTGTGCAGCCGTCACAGTGAGGAGCCCCAGCCTGACCGAGGCTGGAGGTCACCTTTCCTCCCTGCTCCTCCTCTACCCCTGCGCTTCAGCGCGCCCTTCGAGGCCAGGGGTCCGCAAGGGGACATCTGAGAAGAGGGTTGCCCTCGGCCCCCTGAGGGCTCTGCTGGCCTTTCTGGTCATCGGAGTCCCACCTGCTGCGTCCCGCAGGCTGGTTTGTCCCCACCCGGCCACGCGGCTGCCCTTCCTGCTGTCACCTCTCTTACACAGGGCTTTACTCTCAGGGCTCCGGGTTGGAGCTGTCACCTCTGCGTCTCTGCAGACAGCTACCTGATTTGCAGATCCCAAGTGCATTCCGTGGGTGGCAGTGCCTCCTGTGCAGCAGGGGCTAGAGTCTCTGCTACTTCTTCACTGCCACGGGGTCACACGGGCCACCACTCTCCCAATGGCAGCGGTGACTAGAGTGGTCTTCCTGACACCCAGGTCCAGTCATCAGACCCCTGCTGCACCCTTCTTGAGGTCCTTTGTGCTGTTGCTGTTTAGCGTGTCCCGTGAGGCTCTGCGTGGCTCTATTCCTGCTTCTGCTGCCCCACCCCATCCTGACTGCCATCCATACTGTCCACTAAACTGCTTTGTCCTCTAATTCAGCAATCGGCCAACTCCGGAAATGGCACAAATCCAACACATTTCCGTGTTGGTGAGTCTCGTTCCATCAGTGTAAGGTGGCACCCGTTCCTTGCTGTATGTCCTGTGGCTGCCCTCAGGTGATGACAGCAAGATGGAGCAGTTGCAGAGTCTGGACAGCCCTCAAGCCTAGAATCTTCCCTGTCCAGTCCCTTATAGAAATCCCGGGAGAGCCCACCTCCCCTGGGCCTGCTCCTTCATGCCTTCGCACATGTCCTTCCCTCCCTTTATCCCTGAGCTGCTGCCCTCCTTCCCGCCGCCCTTTGCTGCCTCAGCCAGTCAGTCTCCTGCTGCTGGTCACACTGGTTCTCCTTGCTGACACATGGACCTCCCTCCCGCAGCCACCCCGACGGAGCTCCCGCACCTGCAGGGCTGTCAGCAGAGGCTCACGGTAGAATCTGGGGCTCCCCACCTCCGTGCTGCATCCTGTGTCACCCTGCCCTCTGTCTATGCAAACCCACCACGGAGACTTGCCTTGGTCTTTGCAGATCTCCAACCTCTACCTGTACGACAGTGTTCTGATGCTGGCCAACGCCTTCCACAGGAAGCTGGAGGACCGGAAGTGGCACAGTATGGCGAGTCTTAACTGCATACGGAAGTCCACCAAGCCATGGAACGGAGGGAGGTCCATGCTGGACACGATCAAAAAGGTGTGTGTGTGTGTGTGTGTGTGTGTGTGTGTGTGTAAGAAACACACCCCCTGGGCGAATCACAGCTGCGCGCAGATTCTCCTAGTCCCTTGACTCTCCGCCCATTCATCCGCTGGCTTGAAGTGGGATCTTTGTAGGGGTATCCACTGTCCACTCTGTGCACTTTTCCCTGTCACTTCCTGTGCCTGCATTTGAAAGCTGGGGGAGCTGTGGTTCAAGGGCATGTCATTATCATGATCTCCACTTTAATATAAGGAGACCACACTTCAGAGAGTTTAAATATCTTGCCCAAGGTCACCAGCAAGCAAAATGTGGCGATAGCTGCCTACACTGTGTGCCAGATATCCCTCCGTGCAGGGAGATGGGTCTCCATGGGCACGGCTACATGCTGATTGGCTAGGACCTCTGCACATGTGTGTGCACACACTGTGTGTCCGAAGTGTGCCATGCTTAGGAGGCTGGATTGCGAGTAAAGTGTGTAATTCATGCAAGACATGTTAGAGTGAATAGGATTTTAGAGGCTTTAAAAGAGCGTTTAGGGAAATCTCCAGTGTCACAATAAACTGTGCCTGGTTTCAATAGCAGGGTGCCTGTTCTGATGTTGGATTAAATTGCTGCAGATCAGAGCAGAGTGGGGCCCCTGGTGGGCCAGCTTAGTCTCTGGGGCTCTCCCTGGGACCTATCATTGGGGGCCATCTTCACCCCAGGTTGGAAGAGAGCAGGGTGGCAGGGACTCACCACAGCCCCTTCGGCCCCTGCTTCCCGCTGCTCCATGGAACTCCCTGAATCCCTGGGGAGGGGTATCTGGCTGGCAGCTAATCATTCAGGTTACTCTGCCCTGTGTACCTGGCTCCTTTGATCCTGGGGCCCTGGGCTGTGGATCCGATTCCCTTTAGGTTGAAGCTGGGAGATCGGCACTAGTTTGCCTGTGGTGGCCAGCAGGGCTTATTATATCTGTCGCTCTGCAAGCTACAGCCGTGTGTTAGCCATGGCTCCTGAAGACTGGTGACCTCTGTCGTGGGTGGGCTTAGAGAAGCCCCTGGAGCAGGCTTTGAGGTGAGATGAGGTGTGCGGAGGGAGGGTCGGGCTGTCAGTCTTCAATCCCATCGTTCACATGGCGCCTGGCACAGAGCAGGGCCGTGACCACGCTGGCTGCGGGAGGTCAAGTGCATGTCTCGGGCTCCCCGCTCAGCTGGTGGCCTGGGGACACCTGATCTCACTCTGAGACCAGCTGCCAGCCACGGAGTCCTTGTTGCAGGCTATCCATGGCCTCCTCATGACCCACATTGCTCCCTTCTTGGTGACCTTTACCTTCTTGGTGACTGCGTCCCCTGCCGCAGCCACATTTCCCCCACCCTCCAAAACCTCTCCTCCTCTCCTGCAGGGCCATATCACCGGCCTCACGGGGGTGATGGAGTTTCGGGAGGACAGCTCGAATCCCTACGTCCAGTTCGAAATCCTCGGCACGACCTACAGCGAGACCTTTGGTAAAGACATGCGCAAGGTGAGTCTCAGAGGCCTCAGGGTGCTGCCTGGTGAGCGGTGCCGCTGCAGACAGCCCAGCTGCGGGACTCCGGGCTCCTAGTGAGGGTTTACCAGGGTAGACAGCCCATCTCCTGCACTCTCTCTCTCTCTGCTGCTGTCGCTGCTGCCCTTCAGGCTGGTGTTTAGGGGACATGCTGGACAAGGGGCACAGAGAGGTCTCCAGACAGGAAATGTGTGCCACTGGGTCCAGGAGAGGCCCTGGGAACCTTCTGGTGTGCAGAGCTCCTTGGACGGCTGGGGCACCACTCAGAGACCGGAAGGGGCGTGTGATTCCCAGAGAGGTGAAGTCAGCCCCTCTGTGGGGACAAGCGTGACCTGTAGCTGAGGCTGGGGGCAGAGCGTGTCCTCCAGATCCGGAAGTGAGACAAGGGCATGAAGAGAAAAATGAGCCACAAGGAGAGGGTGGGGGCGTGGCGAAGCCCAGCGGAGAGGGAAATGCGGGCAGATGAGCAGAGCGACCTGGGTAAGGCTTGGTTTGGCTCGGTCTTGGCGCACGTGGAACGTGGATGGGCTGGGGCATCTGTCCACTGACCTGTTGGCTCTTCTTCCCCCCTTAGCGGGGTGGAGGGTGGTTTCTCAGGGTGAAGGAGAGCAGGGAAGTCAAAGTACCATAAAACCACGTGTCAGCCATCTGGCCTTTTGTCCAGCATGGAGACCCCCGACGTTAAGTGGGGACCTCTGGGGTCAAGAGTCTGATAGGGTTTGGAATCAAGATGTCAATATGGCAAGGAACAGCTTGCAATAATTGTCCAAGCAGGAGACCTCAGCCATAGTCACTGAGCAATGCAGAGCCAATGATGGCCGTGCAGGTGATCCAGACACCTGGCCACCCCTGCTGGCTTGGCCGCATTCCCAGAGAGGGCTCAGGTGCTTGTCAGGCCAGAGAAGGGGATGTGTGTGGTGCGGCATGGCCACAGGGCTCCGGGCTTCTTGACGAAGAATACAAGCCTTGCCGATTGCATGTACTCGAGCACAGGCCTGTGCAGTAACGTGCATGCTCGGACACACACGTGTGCAGACACTCAAGAGGAGGATGTGTCCATTAGTGGGAGTGCTCCGGAGGTGAAGGGAAGTCCTCATAAAGGTTGGATAAAGATCCTTGTAGCCATGCTTGCAGTACTGGCCAGGGCAGCGGAGAATGGACGGTGGGTTTAGGGTTACTGTGAATCTGAGGGGTGGTAGGAGACTTTGTTGATTTTGTCGCTGGACAGCCAGAGTAGAACGGCACACGATTGTAGGAGCAGAGTGACGAGCAGAGAGAGATCCTGGATGACACGGGTAGGGAAGCAGGACTGGCACCCGCAAGAGGCTAGGATGGCCCGGGGTCCCCGGATGATGGGTTCGTAATGGAAGTTAAGAGTTGCAGATGGGTCACACAACTTCTAGAAGATCTGTCAGCTGTGATGCAGTGGCCCATCCCCAGGTCTCCTGACATCTTGGTTCCTTGAGGTTGACTTGTGGTGCCATCGAGGGGTTGTTGACTACCCTGGAACACCTTGGGGGGCCACAGTGTGACCCAAGGTATGGCTGTCAGGGATGCCTGACACGGGTCAGTGGCGGACTGGGTCATGACCACACGGAGAACGGGCCTGTGTGGGGACCCCCACCTGCTAAGGAGATGCATGCAGTCACTGTGGTGGGACGGAGCTGGCAGAGTGTGACACCAGCTGGAATGACCCTTCTTAGCAGCCACAGCACGGTGTCCCCGCCTTTGACCCTGAGGTTCCTCTGAGGCCCTGGCTGCCGCCACCTTTCGGTTCTGTTCTAACACGAGGGTCCCCACACTCAGCAGGATGTGGGCAGCGGGGGCCCTGATTCCCTTCAGCAGTGGACACTCCCACCCCAGGCCAGACGCCCTGCTGGCCACTCCAGGTGTCCCAGAGCAGGAGGGAGGCTCTGTGTCCTCTACTTGCGTTTCAGGTGCCTGGGTCTTCTGTGTTGCCAAGGCAACGCTCCTCAAAACCCCGAAGCCAATCTGGAATCAGTCTGAGGAGCTTCAGAGCAGGAGGCCAGAATGTAATTGAGTTGGAAGGGAAGCTGATTTTCAAGTGGGCTTTATTTTAAAATGTATCCTTTTGTCATTTTAAAATCGGCCCTTAATAACTGCATATCCCAGTTGTTATCTGTCTGCCTTGCAGCTTATCTCTGGTAGGGAGAAGTTATCTAGAAGGCAGGGAATGGGATTTACCCTGGCAAATGTTTGTTATCGGGGCCCAGTGTACTTTGGGGTGTGGGGGTGGTGGTTTGAGGATGAAGCAGAGGGCCAGGATTAGGCCCTCATCCCAGGCAAGGGCAGCTTCTGAAGGCAGGCCTGACCTGGGGCTGCCAGAGGAAGGTGCTGGGAAGGCACATGTTGAAATAAACGGAGGAAATGGGGGTTGGCAGCAGATTTGAGGGAAGGGCTGGGATCCTGACCACCCAGGAGGGGGGCAAGATAAGGTCTCCCCTCCGCCGCTCATGCCCCATACATACGGAGTTGCCAGGGACCAGCCGGAGAGATTACTGGATGTCCTTGTTTTGGACAGGGTCCAGGGGTCCCTGTAACATAAAACAACCACAGCAAACAAAACTGCATGCAAAGCCAGCCATTTGTGGAAGATTGAAACCCAGAGGCATCGTTTACATTAGAGCAAATGGAGATTTTTCTTAAACTAAGTACCCTGGGGAATGACACAGAGGGTGAGTCACCCAGATGCGTTTTCCATTAAGTGGCACCAAGGGACTGCGGATCACTCGGGCCTGCCTAGGAGGGCAGGAGGACGTGGACAGCACTAATGTCCACTCCGCTGCAGGGCACTGGACAGCACTAATGAAATGATCTCATCCAGGAGGTTCGTTCTGATTGAGGGAATGATGGGTGGTGAAATCAAAGGTCTGTGTCACCGGCTTGCTGTGTAACTCCGGGCTAAAGATGCGCCTCTCTGTGTTGGACTTGAGCTGCTGGTGCCTGCGTTTGCCACTTGGGGCGATGTTTTCTGGGAAGTCACTCCCCCACCCCCCAGGGGGGGCTGGCCCACGTCCCTTGGAAGGGCTCTGCACATCAGATGACCTTCAGTGGAGTCCTGTCTTTTCAGCTGCAGACCTTGGAAACAAATTCAGCTCCACAAATTTCTCCTTGGCTGTGTTCCTCTTTGCTCAGATAGGAATGGTCAGAGGAGGATCCCAGGATGTTGTCCATGCAAGTGCTCCTAACTGATGGCACGGACTGGGGCAGATCTGTTGGAAGTCACCTTTCCTGTGGGGAGGTATGTGGGAAGCTATTTGGAGTATGACAACAATAGCCCCAGTGGGCTCCCCGTTCTGCGGGTGTCGGCTCCTTGACTCTGGCCCTTCGTGCTGCTTCTTTTGGGGTTTCGCGGCCACCCTCTTTTCTGAACCTTGCAGTGCACCAGCCTGCATCCTCACCACCCCATGTGCCAAAGCACAGGTTGGACACAGGAGGGCCGCTTGGCAGCCTGAGCAGGTCAGCTGGGCTCACTGAGCCCCGTGAGCCTGCGGAGTGCCGGGCTCTTCCTGAGCACCTGGCAGCAGATGCCCGCTCCTCATAAAGACGCAGGGTGAGTGGGACATGGGAGCCCCATTTCAAGAGACATTTCATTGTGGGTGCTGTTTTGGTGTTGGAGTGACCCATGGGAGGAGGAAGGCATGGTTGCTCTGTCTGGGCCCCAGTTTTCCTCAGGACGCTTTCTCTGTGGCCTGATTGCTGAGCCACCCTTCTCTGTCACTGTAGCGCTGCTGTGGGGACTTGTTTCCTCCCGGGTGCAGTGAAACCCTGGGAAAGTCGCCAGCTGCTGTGAGCTCCTGGAACGCCATTTCCCAGCTGTGGTATCCACAGGCTCAGGGAAGGGCTGGGGAAAGGGCAGGCACGTGCAGCAGGCCCCTGGATGTGCCTCTGGGGTTCACGAGTCCCTGGGGGGGCAGAGGGCCCTTGGCTATTTTCTGCTCCTTTGTGCAGGGCGAACTGAATTAGGACCCCGATAGGATGGGGAAGTACTTGGTGGTATTGAAGCTTCTCTCCAGCCTGGGAGGTCCGGTGAAGCCCCGAGTGTGTTAAGAGGTTGTACGAGCTCACATATGTGGCTGTGGTCGCCCCGGGGACTTGGGTCGGGGAAACCCGAGCTCCCTTTGCATTAACTCTCGTCTGCAGCATATCTCAGTGGGTTTCTGGACAGTTTTATTTGGGAAACTGAGTCACGGAGACTGGAGAGACCTGATTATGGAGGGCCAGCAGCATGCGGCCTTGCTGGGGCTGGAAGGCAGGTGTGGGTGTATGCGTCTGTGTGCATGTGTGTGTGTGTGTATGTGTGCATGCGGGCGTGCACATGTGTGTGTGTGTGCATGGCACGACACCCTTCTGACCTGGAAGCCCTGAGTTTCTGCCAGGACCATCCTTCCCTCCGTGCCCCCCTCTCCCCAGAGCCAGCGTTAAGGCATCCACACCTTCTCCTGTGGCCGGAGCCTGCTACCTCCTGGGCCTTGCTGCAGTCTCCTCATCCCAGCAAACACGCCCAGGGGGTGGGAGAGCCTCCTTGTCCTTTTCTAGTTTAAGATACCTCGTTTTTGGTCTTTTCTGTCAGTTTGATTCTCCATGAAGCCAGCTTTCTTAGGAATCAAATGCCCCCTCCATGCGGGGCCGCAGGAGGTTCTCGGGCTCAGACTAGTAATTGCTCATCACACCGTGATCAGATCGCCATGCCCTTAGCCCCCATCCTCCCGGCTTGGGGGTACATGGGTGCACCCTTCACGTTCTCCTCTGTGTCTGCTGCCCATGCTGCAAACTCTCCCTCATTCTCGGGGTTCAGGAGGCACCTAGGAGACACAGCTCTGTGACACAGCCAAGTCCCTTGGTGCCAGGGGCTCCCACAGAGAGGAGGAGACTGCAGGCCAAGGTGGCCTGAGGACATCCAGCCAGACTCTGCTCGGTGGCTCCTGTAAGCGCCTGTCACAGAGGCTCCCGGCTGTGCACAGAGTCGCCCAAGAGAAATAAACTCCAGTCTCTTCGCGGATTAACATTCTTGCAGCATATTTCCTTGGTAAAATGTCAACTGCTCGGAACCCCTAGTGCAAAACTGCTTTTGACAGAGCTGAGACCCAAAACAAACACTGTCGTCTCATCTGAGGAAAGGCAGAGGAAAAGATGCTATTAGTATTTCATTTTAAGTAACATTTCATCAATACACGCTCATTTAGGGCGGAATGTTCAGGAAATACAGATAAATGAAATGAAGAAGACAAAAGCCAGCTATAATCTCTGAGCCAAGAAATAAATACTGTTTGCATTCCTGGTACATTTCTTTTAGCCCCCCTCCCCATACACATATAGAAATGGTGTGATGTGTATTTATCAAATTGCTATTTATTATACACACATTTTGTATCGTGGCTTTCCCACTTAACACATATTGGGAGTATGTTCTCATTTCTTTGACTATTCTTTACAACTATAATTTTTTAATGGATAAAGACATTACCACAGGGAGCTATCATTTATTTAATCGTCCTATACAGAGTATATTCATGATTTCCCCCCATTATTATAGAATGGTGCCATCATAAACATCCAAAAATACGCAACTTTAATTACATATATATATTTGTTTCTTTATGATATATTTTTAAAGAAGTAAATTTACTACACAATGATAGTAATTGTTATGATATATTTGGTACGTATTTTCAAATTGATTATAGAAAGACTTAATAATTTTTACATCTATGCATAATGTATGGAAGTCCGTGTGGCATCCTATAGTAAAATAATGGTTTATATATGTATATAAACATGTTTGCTTAACTTAGTAACAATATACAAAATAATGTTGATAAATTTGCATCTTAAAGGATTTTTCATTTAAAAATATAATCATCGATCATTTGCTTCTTGTATTTTATAAACCAGAACTCTTGTTCTCTGCACATTTGAACTGAGGGTAGAATTTTGCTTGTCGGCTCCTGAAACTCTTTCAGGGGAGAACTGATAGTTTCTTGTGTCAAATATTTTGTCTCAATAAATTGTTTGCTTCTGAAATGGAAGTCTTCACATTGACACATTTGAAATTGCATGTGGTTAAATACTTAGACTTTTTTTATTTGCAGAACTTTTTCATGTTTGTACTTTTCAGAAAGTCATATGCAGTTTGCAGAATAGATACTATCCTGTTTTTTTTTTTTTTTTTAGTAGATACTATTTACTCATGCTTTCTTCGAGTTACTTTTATGGTTTGATTTTCTTTCAGCAAAATCTGCCATCTGCCTGGGATGGGTTTTGGATGGATGGGTGCAATGGTCTGGCTTCTGCATTTTCACTAAACGGTTCCCACCACCACACATACAGTCAAACTTCCTTTACCATTGCCCTGAATCTCATGTCTTACTCTAAGCGACGTGAAAATTTGCACATCTCCTCACTGATTTTTTTAAAAAGAAAATCCTTAATCTTTTTATCTTCTTTTTTTCTCCCAGCATAACTTGACTTCACTTAGGACTCTCACTGCAATGCGCTGGTCTGCATGTGCCAGAATGCCCCTCCTGGACTAAATGATGGAAAGACATGTCTCACATTAAAGGGGGCCTGGAATGGAACCAGCGCAGGTTGGGCTTGGCCACTTCCAAAGCATAGCGCTGAGACCAAAGGCTCAGCGACAGCCTTAATCTTCCTGAGGGTTTTAGGGTGGTGGTGCCAGTTGTAATGGGCACACCCAGGAAGATCGCGGCTGGGGACCCAGTTGTGCTTTGCTGTTCATCTTCTTTTTGTGAGTAAGACATGCTTTCCAGGAGCTAGCGCTGGCCTCCATCCCGGTTCATAACCATTTTGCTTTCTCTGAGGTTGCAGTAGGGGTTCTGCACTGAGATGCGCAGGTCACAGGGGCATAGTTTGTGTCCTGGATTTCTCAGGATGTGTCCCCTTCGTGAGTGATCACACAAGAGGTCACTTATTGTTTTATACTTTGATGTTGTGGCTTGTATCTAGCTGTCCCCTCAAGCTTCATGCACTCATGGGAAGGACTTTTCACAGG